GCCATCATTACATACAGGCCAGTTGTATGCAGAGCTCTTGATATCATTGACTGGTGCACCTTCACTCCAGTCTCATCTACTAAATTCTCTAGCTCCTTCAGAGTGATTGTTGGCCTCTCTACAGCTTCCCTTACAAGTCCCATTCTTGTTCTAATGCTGAGTTTTATGGGACGCCCTTGACGCCTGATCCAATTTTCCTTTTTCTTATGTATGTCCAAAACTTTACCTCTGATTTCCTTAGAATGCTCTTTCGTCTTCATTTTCACAGTTTTCCTGTAGATTCACAGTTCGATCAATAGTATTTAAATTAAAGTGGTCTTTTATCCAGACAAGATGAACTTCTTTAATGATTCACAGGTAGAGGCAAATTGTAATCCAAATCCTCATTAGGGCAAACTTCACTCTGTGTAAACTAGGAGCTTCCACAGCATGGGGATTGAATACTTATGAAAACAGCATTTTTCAGTTATTTTGTCACTGAATATTTACTTTATAAAGCCAACATCGCTTTAGATTAATACATTTTGAGAGTCAGTCTTTTGAAATAAAATATAACACAGCACAAAATAAGTGTCATTCATATTCCAAACAAATCAGGTGACTTTCAAGAGGGTTACAAGGCACTGTAAAATCTTTCCACTGCCTAGGAACTTCCTGCTGCTTCAGAGACAAATTAAAAACAGAAAATGTCACTCAAGTTCACACGCGAACCTTTAAAACTTTTCCTGAAATCTGGTAAGAGGTTTGTCTATCTCTCTACTGACATTACATTTTTGACACAGTGGATGTTGAAAAAGGCCGCAGCTGTATTGCTTTACACATTCTCTAAGTTTTTATTTACACAAAAATGTTTTATCTAAACAAATTTACACATTTTTGTAGTTGTTATTAAATCAAAGGTAAAAATCATTAAATTCTTTGAGTAAATCTGTATTACTGTGAAAAAAGAATTCACAAACCTAAAATCTCTGACCTGAATTATAAGAAAAAAAAGTTAAAAATTTTAAGTATTTAGTGGAAAGCAACACTTTGTAACGTGCAACCAGAGTGGAACTGCTTGAGCTGCAGTTAAATGCTCTACTACTGAATGAGACCAGCTGGCTTTTAAATTTATGTAGCTCAGGAGAGGTTTCAGAACGGTTAATCTTAAAGAAGATACTTGATCTATAGCGTCATCAGATCTCTTAAAATGGAAGCATGGATTAAAAACAACACAAGCTAAATTCACATTTGTAAACTTGTGTTTGTAAGTATGCCTTTTAAAGTCAAGACTTCACAACATTGAAATTTCAGGCCTTGCTGGTTTGAATGAGTTGTAGTTTTAAGACATTATTGGAAAAAGGAGCTTTTTTGAGAATGATATGCAATTCTAAGTGGTTCAAGTAAGGTAGCACCCAGATGGTGATGTCTTGATCTGCAGTTAAAAACTCAAACACTGAGCTGTACCCCCTGATTCTAGACTGAACAATGAAGACTGAACAAAAAAATCCATATCAGAAGAGGATTCAGATCCAAGAGTCAAAACTGTTCAAGAAAATATCCATCAAATCATCAGATTCCCATCAAATCCATATCAAAAGAGGTTTAAGATATAGCTATCAAAGTTGTGGAAAATTCTTGATCTATCAAATCATCAGATCCATCAGAACCACTAAAATCTGAGTTTACATGTGAAATTCCCTGAAATTATTTTAAAGTAAAGATTTAACAAGCTTGAAATTTTTCACCTAGGTCATTACAAACACCTGCTTTTTAAAAGAACACCTTAAAAAAACAGCCTTATTTTGGTCACTTTCAATTCTGAGCTTACATGCAAGAAAACAGAACTGAACTTGGGACCCCCTGATTAGTCCAAGGCTTGACCACCAAGATATACTTGTGGCTTTTGAAAGTTTGATGATGGAACAAAAAATTCCATATCCGATAATAAACTTGGGGGGCATTGATGTTTTAAATAATCAGACTCCTAAAATGGAAAAATGCATTAAAACACAACAAACTGTGTTTGAATTGTGCAGAATTTGTTCTTAAGGAAAGATTAGAGAATCTTGAAATCTTCAGATGGAACTAACAGAAATTCCTGCTGTTTGAAATTGCTGAAAGAACTACAGCTGTTTAAAGGCATACTTTGAAAAAAAAAAGTTCTGTGTCCGCTTGAATTCCAAGCTTTTAAAATAAATGAAAATAGAGAACAAAACAACACAATAAGCTAAGTTTTCTACGTGAATTCATTGAATATGTATTAAAGTAAACATTTCAACATTTTAAAATTTCAGGCCTAAGTTAGAAAAATAAGGCACACTTTGATTACAAATCTGTTGTGTATGATAACTTAATCAAAATATTCTGTGTAAGGAGGTGTGCAGATTTAAAATGTGGACTTATAAAAAACATTCATGTCAAATTTCAGACCCATATGTCAAACTTGGGAGAAATTCTAGATCCATCAAATAATCCGATCCCAAAAAATGGAAACCTGAATTGAATCAAAAACTTGTGCACATTCCAAAAATTGAAATCTCTGGCCTGAATTATCAGAAATACTGGTAGCTTTAGGCCAGGGGTGTCCAATCTTATCCACAAAGGGCCATTGTGGCTGCAGATTTTGACTCCAAACAGGCTGAAGCACACCTGATTCTACTTGTTTAATCAGTTGGTCTTAGTCTTCAAACAATTAATCAGGTGACCTCCTGCTTTGTTGGAGTGAAAACCTGCAGTCACACAAGCCCTCTGTGGATAAGATTGGACAACCCTATTTTAGGCTACAATTTGAAAAGCAACTCTTTTAAGGAAAGTGTCAGTTCTAAAGTTTACATGCAAGGGGGGCACCCAGATTTAAACTGTGGACCTCTTAATCTGCAGTCAAAAGCTCACATCAGATGACATTTCAGGCCACTGTAAAGCTCTAAAATAATTCTTAATCTATGGAATAATCAGATACTTAAAAATTTTAATTGCATTAAAACCTCAATATATTCTGAGATTATTTTTGAAATCCCATTAAATTGATCTAAAGGAAAGATTTAGAAATCTGAAAACTCCAGCCTAGGCTGTTTTAAGAGTAAACCTTTAACTCCAAGCCTGTCCAGCAAAGAGGCAACCAGTTTTGAATGAGGGACCGCTTCAAAGACCAGGCATGGATTCATACAAGACACACATCAAAGAAAAACCTGTGGTATGTGATAAATGATTCAAAATAATGCATGAAAGACCTCTACCACTGAGGTATAACCCCTGGTTTCAGGACAGGTAAGGAGGAAAAAAAAATATGTCAGGAGAGATTTCAGACCCAATGTCGCAATCTTGGGAGAAATTCTCAATCCATCAAATCATCAGATCCCCAAAACAAGAAATCTGGCTTGGAACAAAGACTTGCCCCATGTTTACACTTGAAAAACACCAGAGTTTGTTTTTTGAGACGTATTTCAAGAACTCGCAGTCTCTGGCCTGGATTATGAGAAGCACGAGTGGATTTAGGCCACACTTTGAAAAGCAAGTATGAATTGGAATTGGGGACCTCTTAAGCTGCAGTCAAATTATGTGTCAATATTGGGAGAAATTCTCAAGGCATCAAATCATTACATCCCAAAAAAAGAAAACTTGGTTTGAAATAAAAAAAAAAACTTGCTTTCTCAGATGATTTGTCATGACTAAATTTGGAGAAATGCAAAGAGTTCTTAGGCTACAAGTTGAAAAACTACTCTTTTAAAGCAAGTGTTGATTCTAAAGATAACACGCTTTGAACAGGGGACCTTTTAAAGTGCAGTCAAATGCACTTCCATTCATCGATTTGCCTTGGTTAATTTGATTAAGCAAGAAAAGAAATGGAAACGGAAATGGTTTAAGAAAGAAAAATTCAGCACAGTAAAAATTTTATATTAGAATAAATAATTTTATAAAGCTTTAAGAAACTTGAAATAAGTAGGTGGGGCTGTCAGAGATTTAAAGGAAAAACTATAGAATCTTGAAATGTCAGGCATGGAGATTTCAAACCTATGTGTCAATCATGGGAGAAATTCTGAATGCTTTAAATATTTAGATCCCCAAAAGAGGAAACCTGGTTCAAAAGAAAAAAATTGCTCCAAATATACATTTGAAAAAGCCCAGAACTTTTTTTTTCTCAGACGATTTTGAGAAAATTGCAATCTCAGGCCTGAATTGCATTTTGAAAAGCTTTGCTTTGGACCAAGAATGAATTCTAGGGTTCTGAGGAAAGGCGGCACCCAGATTTGAGTCAATCTGCAGTCAAATGCTCTACCACTGAGCTATACCCTGTGTCGATTCAGAAATTGAAAGCAAAAAAAAAATAAATAAATGGATAATGGTAGAGGTTTTGGAAAAAACTGTTGAGCCAGAGGAAAATTCTTCTTGTCTGGAATCATCAGATCGTTATACATTTAAAAGCCTTAAACATTAAACAAATTCTGTGAATGTCAGGCATGGAGATTTCAGATCTATGTTTCAATCTTGGGAGAAATTCTCAATGCTTTAAATCTTTAGATCTGCAAACAAGGACAGCTAGTTTAAAAGAAAAAAACTTGCTCCAAATATACATTTGAAAAAGTCCAGATTTTTTATCTCAGAAGATTTTGAGAAATTTGCAATCTCAGGCATGAATTACATTTTGAAAAGCTTTGCTGCTGGAACAAGCATTAATTCCACGGTTTTGAGGAAAGGGGGCACCCAGATTTGAACTGGGGACCTCTTGATCTGCAATAAAATGCTGTATATCTGAACTATACCCCCTGTAGCTTCTGCATGGGAAAGCAAAAAATATATATATATATATATGTGGAAAATGGTAGAGGTTTCGGGAAAAACTGTTGAGCTCAAGAAAAATACTTCATCTCTGGAATCATCAGATTACCCCAATTATACATTTGAAAATGCCCAGGTCTTTTTATTTCATATGATTTTCAGAAATTTGCAATCTCAGTCCTGAATTACATTTTGAAAAGCTTTGCTTTTAGAGTAAATGTTAATTCTAAAGTGTTCAAGCAAGGGGGCACGCAGATTTGAACTAGGGACCTCTTGATCTGCAGTCAAATGCTCTACCACTGAGCTATACCCCCTGGGACTTCTAAATCTGAAAGCAAAATTAGAATGGTAGAGCTTTCGGAAGAAAAACTGTTAAGCCCGAGGAAAATTCTTCATGTCTGGAATCATCAGATCATTATACATTTAAAAGCCTTACACATTAAACAAATTCTGTGAATGTCAGACATGGAGATTTCAGATCTATGTTTCAGTTTTGGGAGAAATTCTCAATGCTTTAAATCTTTAGATCTGCAAAAGAGGAAAGCTAGTTTAAAAGAAAAAAACTTGCTGCAAATATACATTTGAAAATGCCCAAAACTTTTCTTTTGAGATGATTTTGAGAAATTTGCAATCACTGGCCTGAATTACATTTTGAAAAGCTTTGCTTTTGGACCAAGAACTAATTCTAAGGTTTTGAGGCAAGAGGGCAGCCAGATTTGAACTGGGGACCTCTTGATCTGCAGTCAAATGCTCTGAGCTATACCCCCTGCTTCGTCTAAATGTGAAAGCAAAAAAAAAAAAAATAGAATGGTAGAAGTTTCAGAAAAAACTGTTAAGCCCGAGGAAAATTCTTCATTTCTGGAGTCATCAGCTCATTATACTGTGACATTGCCACATGAGAAGTCTTAAAATGGTTTAAATTAAAATCCTTGCAAGGTTAAACTTTTTTTGTGTGTGTTTACCGTATTAAATGATTGGAGTTTTTTTTTTCTGTATTAGCCATGTATTATACGGGGGCCCTAACTGAAACTGAACTAAAAGAGTTGCGTAGGCCCTTTAAGAGCTCTGCTGGAAAAGGGGGGAGGAGTCACTGGGACAGGTGACTGGAACCAGGAAGAGGAAGGAGAGAAAAAGTTTGGCCATGTGGAAGTGAGGGTGGTGATGTGTTTGGTGTGAGAGGAGCAGTACAACCCAAAGCCTACCACTCAACCTGGGAACTCAAGAGCTCGGCCGAGGATCCATCTAAAAGGGCAAGACAAGCGCATGGAGGAACTAGAAGGTGGATTTCCTCTAACTGTCTTGGATGTAACTGGATGTCAGGCCTGCACCACCGGTGAGATCTATCCTGGATTTTTTCTTTTTTTGTTCACTGCAATGCATTGCTAAGGACTTGTGGGATTTGGGATTTTTTGTGACTTTGGGTTTTGGACTTGGTGGACTTTCAGAGTTGATGGGCACTTATTGTGTATATAGGGGTTGTATATGTGTATGTGTTTGTTCCACTGATTTTTTCAATATAACTTCAACAGGTTTTTCTCTCTCCTCTACTCCTATGCTTGGAGTGTATTGTCCTTGGACTTCAGTAACTGTTTTCTTGGTTGAAATTTACAAGGGGATTGTTACAGAGTGGTGGCCTGTACGGGGATATACACTACAAGAGAATATAAAGAGTTGTGAGTTGCAAATAGCCCAGTCTGTGAGGTTAAAATGGAAATGCAAATGGCTGACACTCGAGAACCAGAGGAGGGCCAGGATGTAACTCCAGCTATCAGACCTGGACCCTTTGTAACATTCTGGGAACCTGTCGCAGAAATTTCCTCTCTTTTAAGTGAAATGTATATTCATGACTCAGAGGTTTCGGAGGAGGAAGATTCAACAGTTACAGACATTATTAACCACAGTATGATACAAGAGGTAAAAGAATCTGTTAATAGCCTCGAAAACCAGGTTGATACTTTAGAGGGGGATTTTATAGCTTCAGTAGAGAGTGCAGTGAATAGAGAGCACAGCCTTAGAGAATATGTGGATCAAAAGTTTTAGAACTTTGAGCTGCTTTTAAAAAGTTCTCTAAAACAATTAGAGCAGGGGGTAGTTGAATGTCTGTTGCGCAGAGATGAACAATGGAAAAGGGAGATTGGTAAGCTAAAGCGCTCTGGCACCCCTATGAGTCAAAACTCCTTTTTTTATCCATCTCCTAATGATAGTAACATCATGACACCCTCTTCTGGCAGTGTGTCTGGCCCCCCTTCTTTCGTTGCTAAGCCTCCTGTTCGCTTAGATTTTCTGACTTTTGGGGAATCTCGTGATACTCCTGCTGTGTTAAGCTTTATTGAGCAGTGTGAAAACTTTTTATCACTAAGGCCCTTGTCTGATGCCGAACTCATAGCCACATTGTCAACAGTCCTAAAACAATCTGCAAAGAGCTGGTGGATGGCAGAGAAGACAAAGATTCATAACTGGACTGAATTTAAGCACTCCTTTTTGTCTGCGTTTTTGCCCACTGATTACTTGACTGAGCAGCTGCGTGTCAGTGTCCAGGCCCCTGACCAAAGCATAAGAGACTTCGCTTACGACTACAGGGCACTGTGCTTAAAATGGAAGCCTGACATGACGGAAGTCGAATTGGTCAGGCGTATCATGAAGAACTGCAATCCAGCCTTAGTCAGTAGTTTGAGAGGGACAGTCCATACTGTGGAACAACTAGTTAAAGTCGGGTCATGGTAGAGTGTGACTGGGCTGCAAAAAAGGACTACTGGGCCAGAGTGAATAGCCAGGCTTCTAGTGACAAGACCAAGAAGAAACAGAACAGCAAAAGCTCCAGTAGTGTCAATCTGGAACACCGGGGCCAACACAGTCACCATGTGGCCTTAGCTAAAGCAGAATCTCCACACCTGCTGGTTGTTCCTATTGAAACACGAGGGCTCCAAGGAGAAGCCGTGCTGGTTACGGGTTGCACCTACACTTTGATGCAGAGTAGTCTTTGGCACAAGATGGCCAGGGTTGGAGAGACTCTGAGTACAGGGGATCCTCTGACTTTCGTGTTGGCAGATGGCAAGTCACACCGGGCCGAAGGGAAGACTCAACTGGCATACACCTGGCATGGGGCCGTCTGGACCTTGGAGACCTACATTATGGCAGACAGCAACTTAGCCTTTCGTCTTATTCTGGGTCTGGATTTTTTTAACAAAAGCTCAAGTCCTGCTTAATTTAGGGGGACATACATATGGAGTGTTGATCCATGGGAAAAGATCTTTCTTTCCATTTTTAAACCGCTCTCCATGTGATTTGACCTGGTCACTATCGGCGGAATCAAGAAAGGCTGTGAATTTGTATGTGGCTATGGCTCCTCCTCTCTCCTTCAGTGTGAAGGTCACTGTTGCATCTGGAACCCATGAAGCCCATGAAGCTCTGTTGAAATCTCATCCACCAGAGATGCAGGTGCTGTTTCAAACCTGGACCTCAGTGTGTTCTTCAAAATTAGGAAGGACCACCATAACCCAGCATCATATATATACTAGTGATGAGATTCCAGTTCGCACTAGGGCCTATAGGGTATCCCCCCTGAAAAGAAACATCATAGAGGAGCATGTGAAATTCATGTTGGAAGACGACATCATAGAGCCATCTCAGTCTGCTTGGGCTTCGCCTGTGGTGCTGGTGGGAAAACCAGATGGATCCTACCGCTTCTGTGTTGACTACAGAAAACTGAACGCCAAGACACCCCAAGATGCATACCCTATGCCACTGATTCATGAAATCCTGGAATCTTTACATGGGGCAGGGTGTTTCAGCTCTTTAGATTTGAAATCTGGCTATTGGCAAGTAGCAATGGATCCAAGGAGCAAGGCCAAGACAGCCTTTCTTACACCTGTAGGACTTTACCATTTTAAATCTATGCCTTTTGGTTTAAAAAATGCAGGGGCAACCTTCCAGCGCCTTATGGAAACAGTTTTAGGGAAATTACGGGGCCACATATGCTTTGTGTATATTGATGACATCATTGTCTACTCCCCTAACCGCGAGCAGCATTTAAAGATCTCCACGCCGTATTCGCCAAACTGCAGGCTGCAAACCTCACTCTGAACTTGGAAAAAGTGCCACTTCTTGCAACCTCAGCTTAGGTTTTTGGGACATATTGTCTCAAGAAAGGGGGTGGAAATTGATGAAGAGAAAACCCAGGCTGTGACTAATTATCCTGTCCCGCAAGACATCAAGTCCTTGCAAAGGTTCTTGGGTCTTGTGGGATGGTATCACAAATTCATCCCTCACTTTGCAGACCTTGCTGCACCTTTGAACCACCTGAAGAAAAAGGCAGTTGAGTGGGCATGGACAGAGGAATGCCAGAAGAGTTTTGATCAGCTAAAGCAGGCCTTGAAAACACCTCCTGTTCTGGCCCAGCCTGATCTATCTCGGCCCTTCCAGGTACATACTGATGCCAGTAATGTAGGGCTAGGAGCAATTCTGACCCAGGAGACTGCAGAGGGGGAGACAGTGATTGCATATGCCTCCAGAGCACTTCGTGGGGTGGAACAGAACTACTCTACATCAGAGAAGGAGTGCCTAGCAGTGGTTTGGGCCATAGAGAAATGGCGCCATTACCTGGAGGGAGACAAGTTCATGGTTTTCACGGACCATAGTGCTCTGGCCTGGGCATTCAATTGTCCAAAGACCAGCTCCAGGCTTACCCGCTGGACTCTGAGGCTGCAACAATTTTACTTTGATGTTTACTATCGAAACTGCATGAACGTCGTGCCAGATGCTCTCTCGCGGGCAGTGGAGCCTGACCAATCACCAGTGATGGCCCCTTATATGTCTACACCCCCAACTGCCTACACCTCTGATTTGCCCACTTCTCTGGCTGAGGTCGCACATGCTCAAAAACAAAATCAAGAAGTCAGAGAGATGCGGGCCAAAGAGGCCGACATCAGCAAGCAGACAGAGCGCATTGGTTGGGAGATACTTCAAGATGTCCTTTACAGGACAATTCCCATTAAAGGAGCAGGCTGGAAGTATCAATTGGTAGTGCCCAAGGAGATGACCACCGCTTTTCTCCACTATTTTCATGACCATCCACTAGGGGGTCACTTGAGCAGACTTAAGACTCTGTTGCGGATTTTAGAGGTGGCCTGGTGGCCCACAGTCCGAAAAGTTGTGTGGCAACATGTGAGACTGTGTGCGATTTGCCAGCAGTACAAGCCGGACAACAAGAAACCTGCTGGATTTTTACAGACAACTGAAGTGGAAGAAGCTGGACTGGATTTTATGGGGCCCTTTCGTCGACGCAAGAAGGGAAACAGTTATCTGCTAGTTGTGG